TACAGTAGCCACGGACAAATTCAAAGAAGATTTTGCGGTCCACTGCAGACGTCGGCGCGTAGAGACAAATAACACGCCAGTGTGTTGAATAGTATGTGAAATCACAAATCACAAGCTTACCCGTTAGACATGTGACGACAGACTCTACAGTTATACCTATTGAATCCTTTAAGAACAAACAGCAACCTCCGGAAGTTCCTACTGCATGACTTACACAAACGTTGTACCGCGATGTAAAGGGTCGTAACATGCTCTGAGTGCGCTCGTCGCTCTCCACCTTTGTCTCTTGTATTGCAACTATGTCTAGCTCTTGGTCAATAAACAGGCGATTCAGCTGATACTGCTTACGCCTATCACTTAGACCTCGAACATTCAACATGCCTACACGCAATGGCTTTTCAAGGACTGGTGTGGTCATTTGCGTGTGCGCACAAAGAGCATATCATGCCTCAATAACAAACAGTTACTGGGGCGGCGGGCTGCCTTGAGACAAGGACGATGACCGCCTTGGTGACCCCCCGCGACTTTTCTTGTTCTTGACGTCGTCCCCCTCTTGTTGCGAGCTCTGCCGAGGCTGCTCACCTGGTCCAGCCACAGCCGCATCTGCCCCTTCGTGTCTTCGCTTAATCATCGCCGGGTTGAAGTCCATGTCGTTGCCGTGTTTCTCGCCCTCGGAGGTTTTGGTTGTATCAGATCCAGGCACAGTCCTGTCTTCGCTACTTTGCGTCGTCGAAGAAGTCTGCTCAGCCTCCGACTTTCCTTGCCGTTCTTCATCCGTGGTATTCGGTGCCTCAGTAGGTGCTTGACTGTTGCTACCGTGTGCACCTTCACTCTTCGCATCCCCGGCCACGCTTGCAGCTTCCTCGGCCTCGACCTCGTCCATCAGTTCCTCGTTGACGCCGCCACCATCGTTGTGCACTGCCACAGCCCGGGCATACCTGCGGGTGCAGTCCGTGCTTTCGTGCCCGAAACCACGACACTCTGAGCACCAAGGCGCCCTACACTCACGCCGTATGTGCCCAATGCGTCGGCAACGTAGGCGAACGGGCGCACGCCCCGGAACCACTACCAGGACCGTGCCCCCGTAGAATCGAAGCTGGTGTGGCAGGCTCTCCAGTGTTAGGTCCTGGCGGAGAGTTAGGACGACGGACAGCGTTGTAGACTCGACGCCCACGAGTCCGTCTACTTTCCACATCTCACGAACAACGCTCTTTACCTCGCCGTACGGTTCGAAAGCGCGGCGGACAGTGTCGACGGGCACGTCAAAGGTCACCCAATGCAGCTTCACCCTGACCTCTCTCCGATATGGGTCAATCGCTAGGCAGCGACGCCCCTTCACCTGGATTTCACCGGCTTGCAGCAGCTTCTCCTTGGCCTCTGGCGTTTTCAACTTGAGGAGCCACACGTGGCCCATCTGATAGGCTCCGAGACCCGCCAACTCCGACAATACTCCAGCCTGTTGCAACGGTCGTACAAAATCTTCGCCCGGTATGGGCGTCCGCCGGTGTCGCAGTGCAACACCACGCTGTTCTTCACCATTTCTCCTGTTGGCAAATGTGGCAGGACGGTCCGGTATTCTTCAGTCATAGTTCCCTTAGTACCGGGCGAAGCCTCAACAGTTCCCCGGCCTGTGGCCGTTGAGTTTTCCTTAGAGAATATTGAAAAGCGTCCGTTTGGAACGGCGTCTTCTTCTTTCTCCACTACACCACTCCACCTTGGCTTCCTGGCGTTTCCTACCTGTCTTATTAATGCACAAGAAACGAAATGTATCCAATCGGAGGTGTTCTGAAAACACACGCCGCCGCGTGGGACGCGGTACGACGCTTAGTGTCACGTGGTACGTGCTCGTTTGTGCTCCAGAAATCCTCCAACTGTTTGTCTCGCCCCGTGTACCTGTAGTAGTATTCTTTGTTTATGAGCTTTAGAGACACGGTATCATCATCATCTGCGAGAATCAAGAGCCACGTTATTGAATATACAACACGGGCCACTTCACACCATCGTACGTGGTCTCCGACGAGGATATAAACGAATTTGTGCAGAGGAATGAACCGTACTTAATCCAATGAATTAAAGAATCCAAGTTTTCAGGAACCCGCCGAAAGCCAAAAAACGGCGGAGCCAGGATTTGACCTCTGGGCCTCCCAATGTCCGGTCGGGTGTGCTAACCACTACACCACTACACTACTACACTACACAACACACTACACTACACCACTACACTACACCACTACACCACACACACACACACACACACACATATATATATATATATATATATATATGAAAAAAAGGCTGTGAGTATGTTTATACAACCTGAACTTAGTCTGCCTCAGCGGGCGACTTGTCTCTCAGCTGTAGATGAGCAATTTAGCCAGTGCAGTACAACCCGCTAAACTGGGGTCTTTACCGTGCACCACGCAGTAGTGATACAAGACCGCACGCCGGTACGATGCTCATCCCTATCAAAACGGGCAGGGGTGGGGACTGAACCCTACCTTATTTCTAAAGAAAGAAAGCTCTTTGTTAATGAACTGAACTTCAGGATGCAAACGAGCTGGTGAATTTCAAGCATAACAAAATCCCCAAGACTGCGGGTAAAAACGACATAAATACTACAGGAGAATAATAAAATTGCACATATGAAAAATAAAATCTTAGGGTTTGTGTTGTTTTTACCCGCAGTACCTGGGTTATTGTCGAGCTCTGTGTTCCTTCGTGAGCTTTCTACTTTTATTACAAAAATAAAAATGATTCCGTATCAGAGAGAAGGCCTTAGTCATTATTACAGTGAACTCATTTAACTATGTAATCACTTTTTTTTCATTTTCAAGTGATGAGCTAACGGATCTTTGCATCTGCTCCAAAAGCGTCAGTGGCTGCTCCAAGTCAATGTTTTGCCTGCTAGAGAACCGGCTCCAAAAGGCCAAATGCAGCTTTAGTCACTGCAATTATCAAAACAAAAAAAATCAATGAGAAAATGAGGACCGTTTCGATGCCGGACGCTGATCATCGCCATGTCTTCGCGGGCTTCGTTGACCGCTATTTTCTTATTGAACCCCTTTGACGAATGGGCTAGTTGGTATAGTTCATTTTAACGAAGTTGCCTAGATTGTCCCTAGGCGGGGGTTGTGGATATTCTGAACTTTCTCGTCGCAATATCGTCGTTTGGGGAAGTTATCGGTGACGACAAAGTGATGTTGCCCAACTTTGGGAAGGAATTATTATTGAGGCGAAGATTCAATTTTGTGGTATTATGGAGCTGTGCTCCTTGTACGCGGAGCTCATCTACCGGGGTCACTGAGAGTGGCGAAAGAAGTGTCTGAGACAAGAGGGTGACGGGGGATGGCGAGAAAAAACCGGGGGAGGTGGAATAACGGGGGTAAGACTACCAATGACTCTAAGGGTGCGTAGGGGTGCAAAGACGCGCGGTTGTGACGTCATCAGTGCAGTCGTTCAATCATCTGGCCCCAGGGTATTACTCGCGCGCTTCGATAGCGCACGCTCCGACTTTGTCTTCCACAATCTCGCTGGAATTTGAGCGCCGAGAGAGTTTGGATGTTTGAAGCTGACTTGTACGTACCGAGTTACTAGTAACTGATTACTTGTAATAAATTTAATTTTATTGTAACTTTTTAGCGCTTCAATTACTTTTTTTTTTTGCGGTGACGTTCACTGTAATTCAATTACTATTTTTTCTGCAATCAATTAGAAGCAATCAATGATATGTTTCTGAAAAAGCTGAAATTATTGAGGTCAATTAAAAAATCGCTCTGTCGACTCGTCGATGTTGCACCAACGTTGGACAGTTTTTTTTTCAAGCCCTAAACACTAACAAAAAAAATATACCAAGACACCAAAAGGATTAGAATCTCAACGCGCTCAGCGACGCTTTGACTGTCGAGCTGCCGACAGCGCCTCGCAACCGATAAGCGCTTCGCTTCCTTGAGGACTCGGAAGTGTTCGTCGAAACACTGCGCAACCACGAACTGAGTGGTAGGCAAAGATTTTTGTGTGCGGTACAACACCGCTCTTCCCTCAAGCGCATCCGTCGAGAGGGTGGGTCTTCTGCGTCGGGGCAGCTATCTTCACCAGGAAACGTGGGAAGATGACTGACGGCAACTACGAACGACAACTGCTGTTGAAGCTTGACAAGGTGTGAATGACAAAAATAAACAAAATGTAACTACTTTGAACATATGTATGAATTTTTTATTTCGCAAGAAAAATAAAAATAAAAAGGTAACGCAAAAAATAATTTATCACTTTCTAGTAACTTGCTAATTACTTTTGTGATGTAGTAATTGATTACTGTAATCAGGTATATTTTCCAATAAAGTCAGTGTAATTTTAATCGGTTAATTTTTTCCGGTAACTCGTACTGGGACTGGATGATTGTCATCTATTCTCGCGTGACGCCGTCGTCGCATGAGTTTAATCAGCATGCTCCGCGAACTTAGGCCCAAACTTTGTGTTTGGCGTTAATTGAAGCACACCTTTGCAAGGTTTGCATTGCTAATGGAAAGGGAACCAATGCCCAAAACAGCTGGAGAAATATAATTTTCTACAGATGAATTTTTTTTTTTTAAATTTAGTGTGTACGGATATTATTTATTTTTATTTCTCATCTTGAAAATTTGAAGCAGTAAAATTTAACTCTAAAGTTCTAAGAATTGGCAATTAAAAAAAAAATCAACTTCGATAAACCCTGAATTTGCAGCGAACAATAAACTCCGAAAACACAAAATTCTACTTATAAAGTATAAAAAAAGAGGGAGCTCATTGATTTATATGATTACAGACGTAACTGACATTTACGTTAATAAATATTGCAATCAGGTGTTGCCTCTCCCGCAAAAGCGCAAGAGGCAACATATGATAAATTGCCTCTTGAAAGTGTAAGAGGCAAAATGCATTTTGAAAGGGGCCAAAGAGTATTAAAAATGCTCTTTGCACTTTCGTCTTTTTGTCCCTAGAAATGGCCATTAAAAAGAGTAGTACGCCCAGAAGGTGGAATCGAACCACTCTGACGTCAGTCAGCTACGGGTTTGAAGCCACGTACCCCGGACCACCGGAGGTCGTCTGGGCGAAAGCGGTATTACCCTCAGCGCCTTTTATAGCAGACGAATTCCCGTTTACTTGTTTCGCGGTGACCGGGCATCTACTCCCGACATTTACAGAAGTATTACACACGGAGCCAAAGTTAACATACGACTGTATTCAGAATTTTAATGTAGTAGACATATCTCTTATCTTATTTGTACATTACAGAATTGCATCGTTTTTAAATAATATATTTTTAGCATGAAATGACACGCACTGACACAGATGAGCGCGCCGCCTACCGGCTTTCGCACGTTGTATGGTTACAAAGTGGCACTGCGTCCGTTGCTAAGGGAAGCGCAGCATCACGCGGCGTAGATGCACCGACGTCGCCATCTGTCGTTTTCGGTTACAGCCATTGATCCTGCTGGCGGTGACGTTCATCGCACCTGTGTGATGAACGGTTGGCTGGTGATGTGTTTTTAATTTTATATTTGCTCTGAAATAATGGAACTTTAGCTACTTATAAAGTGTTATGATCTCTGTTTAAAACAGTTATTAGTTTTAATGTAGCTTCTATAGTTTTATATACAGTCGCAGAAACAACTACATAGAAATTTTTGTTGTTGTTGTGCGGAGATATAGGTACACCAAATATTTAATAACAAGCATGATGCAATAGTTCATTATGCTCCCTATAAAGTGTACAGTGCCAGTATCTAGCCGAAAGCTGTGTACAAGTTTTTAATTTAATGATGCAAATCACAGACGTCATAAAGCCTTCTTCAATTAATTTAAAAAGTTAGTTAAAATTTGCAATGACATAATTAAGATACTGCCATTGCAAATAGATAGCGGAACTCTGCGCATACTCGGAATAATAGAAAATAAATTCATTATGTTTGGAAGATTATACCCAAAGGTGACCGGCACAAACTGTAAAAACAACCCAAAGCTGAAAATTGAAAAAAAAAAAAAAAAAATTCGAAAGTTTAAGAGATGTACTCTGCAAATATCGTCTACAATTACATAAAATACGGCCAGAACATAATTAGGGTGCTCAACAAACAGTCAGATTCAATATGTCGTCTCACACTGTATTAGTGACTTTTCTGGTCCTTCTTGCACCATGTGCCGTCGAACATTAGCTACATTAGCTGTTCCTGTCACGTTGGCATTTCAGTCTTCACGAGGTTTAGGATGGCAGTTTTCGCGGCAGCGGCGTGAAATTTCTTGCTAGTGAAGGGGGGTGCATTGGTTCCAGCAGGCTAAGAATCACGCAGAAGTGCAGAAGTTGATGCATTTCAAGTTGACGGCCAAACTCGTCCGAGCTCTTGCTGTCGCTTCGCTTTGCGCTTACACCTCTCCATGTGATCCGGCACGTATCGGCAAAAACGTCGAAGCAAAGAACCTAATCGGATCACCTGCTCTTATAAGTGTAGTTTGAGAGACCATAAAAATCCTCTACGTTTCCCAGCCGACTTCTGAACGCGTAGTGAATCTGCACTCGTGACAAGTGGGGCAGATCGCACCGCTCACAAATATCGGCAGGGCGCCGATGTCGCTCATCGCTGAACTCGCAGAGCCATAGTCCCGTGGTCTGTATTTGTTTTCGAAGGAAGCGATCTTATCCTCCGTAGAACGAAGAGACGGAGCATCAAATGCGTCGAAACAATCGCCATTACGTGGTTAGGCTTAGCAGGCCGCTGTAAAGGTTCCTCCGCTGACGTTCTCTGCTTAAGTTTGAGCCGCGTTTCTTGAAACTCGCACTTGCTTCGGCAGCTACAAACGCGAAAATCGTGCTTCTTAGTGTTGTCTATCACAAGTGTAATCGGCGATACATAGAAAGTGCTGCTGTCCTGAGCGTCTGCCTCTCCATGATGGCGGATGTTCGCGTAAACTTGGGATTTTTCGAGCACCGCGAGTCACTAAGACAGGTTTCTTTCTAACTTCGGGTGTGAATATTGTTTTGAATTATTTTTTACGTATAAAAGTAGCATGTACAAAAATAATAAAATAAGAGAAAAAACAAACAAACAAAAAAATTTACTATTTCCAAAATGATTTTGACTTTTCGACCCGCATGCATCCATGCTGTGGAGTGCATAGTGCAAAGAGTTGTGTCCAGTTCACCCCCCCCCCCCCCCCCCCCCCCGCACAGAGAGAGAGAGAGAGAGAGACAGAAGTACATGGCTTGGGTAAAACATGGTTGGAACACCGTAATTTATTTTTGCGCCGTATTAGTGTCGCAAAAAAGATCGAGTATATAGTCGGAAGAGCGTCATTTGTACAAGTTAACGCGTTCAGCGTGAGCAGCAGACTGGTTAGTGCACACTAGGCGTTGTCCGAAAACACACAACCCTAATTATATCCCACGGACTTACTTGCTCCATTAAGCGTGCCTTTTCCGCGCTACACGGGTGTGCTCCGACGAAGCAACAACCGCGTCGTCAGCGCGCGGCGGAGAAGCAAGTCGCGTGCGGAACTATCGAAGACACAGGCCGTAAGAGTGCCGTTTTCAGAAATGCATTATTCACGTGTGCACACGAGTTAGGCGAGCGCTTTTTTAAACGCGTTGGTTTCCGACATCTCGCAACTGCGTGTTCTTGAGATGGACTGCAGTTCCGCGTGCACCGCGGGATAAATAGACAAACATGCGTGGCTTTCCCGTCTCGCGCCTTCCTCTCTTTTTCCCGGTGCGTGAACACGTAGAAACGATGTTGCTAACGTTTGTAAGAGCAAGTTACATATCGTAACATTTTCTTATTTCAGACGTATTCAAAAGATAAATGTTTAAACTCAACCCTATTTAAGAATTCGGGTTCTACGCAATTTTACCATCAAATTGGGGTTACCTATTTTATTTACTTAATAGATACTGCGGCTCTCAGTTGAAAGCTTTGGCAGGTGTGAAAGTTTTCACAAGAGAGACACAAGATATAAATACCCCAAATGCGACCCAAACGAATATCTGGTGAAGTGCATCATCAAACCTGGTGAGTGATTAAAGCGTGACAATTCAATTTGTCAGCAAATTCCAATCTTGAATTACCCGAGGGAAAAATTAATATTTGAGAACGCTGTGTTTAAATTTGTATTGCCTAATTGATGTGGTATGGTTATCCTTGCCAATCCGGTCGATGAAAAAGTCATAAACTGTTCAATGCGAATATAATCTTGCCGTGGATAAATTGAATACAAATATTTTAATGTAATAATTCTTGCCCTAGCTTCCAACGTCTTTATATTGGTGTTCGTAAGCGAGTGCGTCCCAGAGGGCCGGTTCCTAAATGCGTTGAAGATGAACCTAAGAGCTTAATTTTGGACGCCTTCAAGTCTGCTCAACCCGTCTGTCGTGTGAGTAAGCGAAAGAGAGTTAGCGTACTCCAGCATCGATGGCCGAGTGAGTTCGGTGAGTGGGCTAGCGCACACCAACTCGGAGCACGGGGAGCTAAAGCTTGCGCTGCAGAACACAGTAATCCTGGGTTCAATCCCCACCCCTTCCCATTTTTATCTGGATGAGCATCGTACCGGCGTGCGGTCGTGTATCACTACTGCCTGGTGCACGCCAAAGACCCCAGGCTAGCGGTTGTACTGCACTGGCTCAATTGCTCATCTACAGCTGAGAGACAAGTGGCAGACTAAGTTCTAGGCTGTGTAAACACACACACACACATTTTTTTGTTTTCTAATTAATGTTATATGCTATAGTCTTTGTCTCGGTATCCGCAAAATTAAGGGTACGCCTAAGCGTAAAACGTGTACATCTAGCCTTTTTCGCAATTTAGCCAACACATTGACTTGAAGTCACTTTTTTATTAAACGTAGTGCCGAGGTATTTATAGTGGTCTTCAGATTATTATGTTTTTCTTTCATTCACAGCGTGACTAAAATGCAGAGGAATCGTTTTATAAGTTAGGGTCCTTGTTTCTGTTCTGACATATTCTAGCATTATTAAGATTTGTTTGATCTTAGGGGGGGGGGGGGGGGGGTGTAGTATTTAAAAAAAAATCATCTGGAAAAAAGAAGAAAAAAACTTGATTGATACTTATGTCTTTTCAGATATTATTATTAAAGATGACAAAAATGGACGAAGTACTGATCCCTGGGGTACCCCCGAAGTGACAAGGATATGAGTCAACGATATAGCATTAATTTTGACATTCTGAGTTCGATCAGATAAGTAGGCAGCAATCCAGCTTACTAATTATTCGTTTTTAAAAACTTAAAAAAAAAAAAAGATTGAGTAGATTTTGTGGTGAGAAACGCAATCAAAAGCTTTGGAAAAAGCTATACATATATCATCTTTTGATCACCGCTCATATATTGTATTCAGCACTAACTGGTGGTATTCCCAATTTCGGAAGTAGCACAAGGTTTGCAATACATCTGGCTACCATAGAAACCCCACTTTGGGCCCACGTTGCTCCCTCATTTGCCCATGCGGGGGTCGCACATTGCTCCCTCATTTGCTACTTGGGTATAGGTTTTAGATCGCAGCTCTTTTGGGCGCCCGTTTCCGCCTTGAGCGGCGTCGCCGTCGCCGTCGCCGTCGGCGTAACCGCGCGTTGCGTTATGGGACGTTTCCCATAATGACGTCACACGTGACGTCACGAGGGTCACTAGGGTCACAAGTGAGGTAACGAGGGAAGGGGAGGAGAGGAAAAGGGGAGGAGGAGGGGCATACGCTCCTCTCTGTACCCTCCCCTCCTCCTCCTCGAGAGCTGCACTCTAATTCGGCATTACAGAAAACTTAAGCGTCTTTCATTTTTTTTTTATTGTTACGCGTGCCAGCTCTTTTCTCACTGTGTAGCTTCTCCACAGCGTTTGACTTTTCTAGGAGAAGAAACCCTTTCAGGCGGAGCGGAACGCTTGCGCGCGCGTCTTATGAAGTAAAGGGATCATGCAACGATATCGAGTTCGAACTTTATTAGCTCCATCTTTTTTTGTTGAGGCATAAATCAAGTGGAAGATTATAGTAGGGAATCAGAAAGAGGAATTCCGCAGTGAAATTCCAAAAATAAGAGTGATCTATTCCTTCCGACATTTTATCTTGATTTGTCCGGTCACAAAAAAAAAGCGAAAGCCGTTTACCACTCCCTGTAACGCCGAATTGGAGCGCAGCTCTTGAGGAGGAGGAGGGAAGGGTACTGAGGGCCACGTGTTCTCGGGGGGGGGGGGGGGGGGGTCACGTGACCCCCCCGAGGGCGCGTGACCTTGGTGGGGTCATGTGGGGGCAAACACGTGCCCCCCTAAGAGGTCACGTGACCTCGGGGTGTCACCTGACTCCTCGGGTCACGTGACCAAAATTTTTCCGCTAGATTTAGCGGGAAAATTTATCCGCTAGATTTAGCGGGGAAATTTTTCCGCTAGATTTAGCGGGGAAATTTTTTCCGCTAGATTTAGCGGGGAACTTTTTTCAGCTAGATTTAGCGGGGAAATTTTTTCCGTTAGATTTAGCGGGGAAATTTTTTCCGCTAGATTTAGCGGGGAAATTTTTTCCGCTAGATTTAGCGGGGAAAGTTTTTCCGCTAGATTTAGCGGGGAAATTTTTTCCGCTAGATTTAGCGGGGAAATTTTTTCGCTAAATTTTTAGCGAAAAAATTTTCCGCTAGATTTAGCGGGGAAATTTACCCATAATGCACCGCGCGGTTACGCCGACGGCGACGCCGACGCCGACGGCGACGTCGCTCAAGCCGGAAACAGGCGCCTAAGAGCTGCGCTCTAATATGCTGTGCGCGTCACGGCCGAATGTGACTCTGGAATTAGACACGAGAACCGGAGGAACACTGATGGCTCGAGCCATCGGAGGAACACCTGACTGCCTGTACTGGCAACGAGTTGAGGAGGTCAACTCTCCTGGATTTATCGCTCTGTGTCCTGTAACTTTTAGTGCGTGCAACTAAAAACGCATTCCGCGTATTTAACGTCAAGTATCACTTCGAGATAGATTTGCTAGAAATGTAGAAAAATGGTTTAACGCTCCCTTCAACTTAGCGGCAACGAAACTGGCTTGTTTACGCAAACTTCGAGATTATGGCTGCCGAACTATGGCAACGGTGTCCGTAGCAACGCCTCTCGGCCGTCTCGGCCGTGCATGCATGCATCCTGAATGCGAAAACCCACAACTTTAAGGCCAATGAAAACAACAACAACAACAACAACAACAACAACAACAACAACAACAACAACAACAACAACAACAGCAAAAACAACAGCAAAAACAACAGCAACTACAACAACAACAACAAAAACAACAACAGAAAACAACAACAACAACGACAAAACAATAAAGAGTCGAAAACAAACAAACATGGCCTAATTTACTGTGCCGCAGCAGGCAGTTGCAACACGTGGCTATCAACAAAAATGAGAGAGCTTAACCGCGAATTACCGCTGACGTTCATGCAACGTGATTTACGAGATGGGGAAGCAAAGTCGACGTGAACGCAATATTTTGCCCAAAACTATCGCAGGAACGCTGCGAGTTTGTTACGTCGTCGGCGCAGCTAGATCTCGTCGTTTACGCAACGTCTGAAGGACGTAACGCGGTGCGAGTACGTCGTCCATCGCGACATTTACGTCCAGCTGCCTATGCCGTTAGCGAAGAGAGGCTGCGCACGTACTTGTTCATGTACTTGAAGTAGCTTTCCAAGGAGTGCGAGTCGATGGAGCTCTTGCACACCTCCAGGTCCGTCTTGGGGAAGTAGTGGATGTAGGAAACGCACATCTCCTCCCTGATCCCAAAGCCGCCCTGCGTTAAAAACAAACAATGCGAAAAGGAAAGCGCGACATTGATTGATGGTGATTTAGAGCTATTCTCGCTGTATAATTTGTTGCAACATGAGAAGTACGTAACTGGCTTCGTCCCCCAAATTTCAAGAGAGAAATTCTGTCATTACTCCCTCAATACGACCAAAGCATTTTTTTTTTAATGTAACGAAAAACGAGGAGCATCCTGGCTTTTTTATGTTTCAGTTTTGAAGATTCTCTAGCAAGCGCGTTTGGCAGCCTGGAAATGAGGAAATGCCAGCCAGAAGTCCGCATCTGTTAATACGATGACGCAAAATATACGAATGCATTATTTCGTGTAATGGCGAAGCTGGCTAGATTTCTCGCGGCTCAAAATTATAACCTAGCTCTCGACACCTAAAAGGCCCTAAGCTAGCATTATCACCTCTTCGAGCACCTTTTTGTACTTTTCTTCTGGCATTTTTTTTCATCTTAGCATGAATTTAAGCAGAGGTTACATGTGCGAGAAAGTTATCTTGGTAGGCGGAACCGCTGTGCGTTAGCCCGTGCAGCAAAGGCTCGTTCTCAAGCAAGGAATTCGCGCTTCTTAAAATTATTGTTTTATATATAGGAAACCAACGTCACCTAAGTCAGCAATCGGCAGAACAACCATCGCGAAATGACTTACCAGGGTCACGTTTTCACGATCCGCGGTGTCGTAGCGGCACGTTATCACCAAGGCGTCACCCTGCGTCATTAACCAAATATATGCTAGACACCCCCGACATGAAACTTCCTACGAAATTCTTTTTATTATGGCTCGGTGGCTCGGGATACGACGCTCTCAGGAGATGCCCCACGTTTATTTTTTAGTCTATACTTCATTTTACCGAGTCCGACCAGGGCCGTCGCTACAACCCGGTGGAGATAATCAAGCAATGTCAAAAGTGCATCGTCACGGTGTTTTTTTTGTGAGTTTGCTATTACCGGTTAATTTAGCCGCGCACAGAAATAAAGGAAAAAATCAGCTCAGGATTGTGGCGCATTTACTGTACGGTTTACCGGGTGATAGTAAAGACACAAATGTAATGAGCTCTATATCATGCGCACTGTTGGCGCTGCTTGAATGGGCTTATAGCCTCCTCTATACTCTCAAAGCCTGGCAGTTCGTCGACGGTGCCATAGAGTGCCTGGTCGCAGATTTGGAGCACGAGTATCTGATAGCAAAGAGCATCAAAGCCATTTCTCGGGAAACGTGGACGTCAGCGCACAGCTTTTGCAGCCGCGAGGACCCGACACACACTTGTTCGCTCGGGAGAAGTGTGTTTCGGCGGCTCGTCGCAGCGGGGCGCCAGTCACGTGGCTCTCCTTTCAACCGTTGTCTGCCGCTCCCCATTTTCCATTTCGGCGGCCGCTCCTCCTGGCGACCTGCCAGGCTTTCTTAGTATAAAGGAGGCTATGATGGGCTTCATTGGATCATAGTGTTGGCTGCGGTCAGGCTTAAAGTGAAACGAAGTACACCATAAAATCACCCTTTAACTTGCCCTTCATTGGCTCTCCGCCTACTCTGCGGGGGAAGCAAATTAACGTGCTAATGTCGGTCGTATCGTGGTTGGATACTGAAACGTGCGAGCGATTTTCTCAGAGTGTCGTCTCGACCGGTAGGGTTCCGACTCACGGGCATGAGCTGTAGCCTGTCCTTGAGGAGGCGTATCTCCTGGAAGTGGGTGCTGAAGTGGTCGTCGCGCGCCATTTCGCCGAGTTCGCTGCCTCCGCGGACGTGCTTGACCCAGACGCGTCGACCGGTCAAGTGGGTGTGCAGCTGAGCTGCCACCAGGGTGATGCCGGACTCGGGCAGTGCCTGGTGTCATAACGGGACCATTTGTGCTTGAGCTTTTGTTTTTGCCGCACAATACGTTGTAGGGGAGGCTTTGCAACTAAAAAAAAAGTTACGCAAAATCCCTACCCCTGCCCGTTGCGATTTGAATTAGCATCGTACCGGCGTGCGGTCTTGTATCACCACTGCGTGGTGCACGTTAAAGACCCCGGGCTAGCGGTTGTACTGCGCTGGTTAAGTTTCTCATCTACAGCCGAGACACCAGACGCACATTCGGGCTCACTAACTTGTCGCTGTATAAACATACACACAACACAATTACTTTTATTGTAGGGGAGGCTTTGTGGGAGAGGAGTGGCACAAAATCTCCAGCCCTGCCTTTTTTGATCTGGATGGTCATCGAACTTACGTGCGGTCGTGTATCACCCTTGCGCGGTTCATGTCAAAAACCCCGGGGTAGCTGTGGTACTGCACTGGCTTAATTTCTCATCCACTTCGTAAACCAGTGTCGCCATGTTTAAAAGGCAGAGCGACTTTATATTCTGTGTAAACCCGAACGTCGAATTGGGTTTTTAGTGGCACAAAACCGTCGCGAAAAAGCGGCACGTAATGACGTCATCTGCGTGATGGTGGTCACTTATCACGTGGTCACTGCCCCGTGGCAACCGGGATGATAGGTCACGTAATGGTTAACATGTGACGTTCCGTTAACGCATCCTACGTAGTACACGCATCTTGTCATGCATAACCAAAACGAGTTGCAAGTTTTACAATTGACAGAACATCTATATTTTGTAGACAAACCTCCTGGAAGCTTCAGAGGACTACTAACGTTACAGAGGCCCCAAGATGCTAAAACACAGCTTCTTCAGCGCCTTGACATAGCTAAGTGTCTGCCACTTTGTGGCTTTCAGAAGGTCTCCTCTAAAGTTCCTTATATCGGCTTTGACTATCCTCAGTCGCCTTCAAGGACGCTCTTTTTATTACGCTCACGGAAGGTGTCCCTGAAGAGGCAACTCACCACTCTGGTGCATTCGGAGATGCAGTAGCCCGTGAGGTCGAACGCCGGCTGGCGCGGAGGGATGGCCATCTTGTCGGTGTACTCGAGGCCGATCTCGAGGATGCCCACGTCGTAGGGTCTCAGCTCACTCGTGTGGTACAGCGTGATGCCGGAGCTATCCACGAAGCCACTCTGGTGCGCCGGGTTGTTCAGGTGCACCTCCAGCATGGCGAAAAGGGAGTAATCCCTGCCTCCCGCCGACAGGCCGGCTTCTTCTGGGTACGCCAGAGGCTTTGAGGAAGCCAGGACACGTCATTACCCCAGTTGCGAGCTCCGCTGCCCTTTTATTGAACCCCCGTTTCACAATGTTAGCAGTCAACTCCACAAGGAACAATACTCAAGCAACAGAAAGGGTAACTATAAAATAAAGAGAGCGTACAGGGAACGGCCTTTGCAGACGGCCAATTACACGCCGGTCTAGCAGACGACGTCTCTGCCCTCTGCGTGGGGATCTTATTGGGAACTGCGCACGCGCAGTGAGGCCAGGTACTGAGTGTTATTTGATCCATCGTCTACAAGACGGTTTTCTAAAATGTTTCAATGATAGCTGTAAGCCGTACGTTTAGTTAATAAAAAGTTGGATTTTAGACGCTTAAAACATATAGATTTAAAGTTTAATGACTGCAACGTGCGCCTCTAATAACGTGCCGCTCCTTGCGTTGTTTTTCACCTCTCCCTGCACCTATCGCCACGCCATCTCGAATAACTTCAGAAATTTCTTAGCGTCTCCGGCTCCAGACGCCGTCAACTTCCATTACTCGAAAAAGTCGTCTTTTAGCGATTCCTCTTCAACATTGGTTGAAAAAAGGAACTACATCGTGACATCGTTCAGTTAAATGAAGATAATATACGTGCGTGACTCTGTGTGGACTCTAAACTAGGTTGTTATTTGGGCCGGTGTGTTCATGGTCTTAAAATGTATAAAAGCTCCGAAAACAATAATTACGAAAACAAAGTAAGACAAAGACAAGGCGTTTTGTGTTTGTATTAATTACTTCGTCTTCTTCCTTATTAATTTCGGCACTCTTACACCTTCTAAGGCCGTAAACACGAAGTGTGGAGTTGGAAGAAACAAACCGATTGATTTCTTCAATAACCTATCAAGAAAGAGCCGAAGCTGTGTCGTGTACCAGGGCACCGAGCGACATGCCCCGAAACACGTTGGAAGAAGGTCGTTGTTGTGCATATAGAAATTCCAAGGAACGTCCAGTACCGGAGCCCCCATGGCCCAAGCCGCGATGACCCTCTTGCACCTCTCGAGGATCTCCGGTTTTTCGGGACTGTGGCAGGGTCCGTTCCAGGCCGGCAGGTCCTGGTCCGGCGGCACCTCGCAGTGGAACAGCTCCATGTGGTGCACTAGGGCTTCGTTACCCTTTTGGACGTTGGCCTCGTACTGCGGAAACATGTTGCGTCGTAAATACGGCCGTCCACACCGCAAAGCCGCAGTCAGCTCGTACGTCTCGTACATCATCTCGTACATCATCTCGTACATTATCTCGTACATCATCTCGTATATCATCTCGTAGATCATCTCGTAGATCGTACAAAAGACACACGGTGTTCGCTGCGGACACGATGAGAGGACATGTGTGCGGACACACGCCTTGAGCATGGTCGAAGTCGGCTTCATTCATGCTCCAAACATGTCTGCAGACTCTCCCTTTTGTACGATATGTATTAGCAATCTCACCGAGTCATTAGATGTAGCATAACAATGTTTGTGCCGTGAAGCAGGAAGCTGGTTCCGTGGTTAAACGTGGTGACGTCGACCTTTTGTAATCGGGCTTTGTGTTCCGAGCTCTCAGAAAGAGAAGCAGAAGTAAGGACATATACAATATTGGGATACCACCGCAAATATCACCCCAAAAAATCGAAAATTTGCATATCTAAATACTCAAAAAAAAGAAGAAAAAAAAAAAACGAAAATGATATTTGTGGATAAAAACAAAACAAAAACGAAAGCTACACTGAATTAAACAAAAATAAAAATGGAAACGCCAAGCGCTAGTTACATGTTACAAGTTACACAAAAACAACTGGCAGCGACCTTTTCGTCCAAAATTTTATAATGCATAAAATGCAGTATTTAAGGATCTACCTTTTTTATTTGTTTCGAACCCAGTAAACAGTCGTGTCGGAGGTGAAGAACATGCATCTTTATTCATATTCTGAAATAAAGGTTACTGCGCAGGAGAGCAGGGGAACGATCATAGCGAATAAAAACACCTTGAGATTACGGACCAAAAATGGGACAAAACAGTCCCATTTTCAGATGGTGTTGCCTCGCCCTTTTTTACCATAGTCTCAAGATTCTTTTTTTTTTGTCACTACTATCTTTATTAATTTCTTGTTAAATTCAGCAGGGAAGCTGAATAGGTGTTTAGGTTACGTGTCATGAATTTTCCCGTTAAATGTTAAGTTCAGCGGGGGAACTAAATTGCTGCAGAGCAACGTTACTAGATTCGCTCAGTTGCGGAACTGCCCCAGACGCTGCTTGCACAAACACCGCCCCCCCCCCCCCGCCCTCTCTTCCCCTACGGCTGGCCTCCCGTCGTTTGACGAACCATCGTTTTTGGGGGACATCTGCTATGATAACTGCAGTGTATTCCATGGAATACGTATGCTTTGAAGCTCAGCGTCTAGATGGCGTTTCATCGTACCCTATGAGACACGCAGTTTTGAAACGAAGATCTAGATGGCGCTTCAAATGACGGGAGGCGGACTGAAGGGGAGGTGATACCCCCCACTCGGGAGTTCTACAACTGAGGTAATCTAGTAACATTAGTGTATGGGTTCCGGGACATAATCTTTTTTTTTTTGTTGGTAAAGTTAGGGAACAAACTGAATTGGCGCCAGGTTACGTGACGTCAGGTCACGTGACAGCAGTTTTTCTGCTAAATTCAGCGGGCAAAGGCATGGGCACACGAACAAAGCCTTGGGATTAAGGGCCGGGTTCCGTTAAAAAGCATTCCAAGCTTTCAAAATAATGAACGACGATATTTTTTTGTAGGATTTCTTTTTGTGTTTGTTTGTATGCCTCGATCAGACGACAACTCACCCGAACAATGTGCCTCTTGTAGCGGAAGTCTGAGGGCAGCTTATGCATCGTGCACCAGTAGGTCGTTTCGTCGCTGGGCACCGGGACCTGCGACCACCGCCCAATTTAATTGTACCGGCAAGGGTAGTCGCGGTAAGACCCTAGGTCGATCGGCGTAAGCGGTTTATCCTTTTACGCTTCTCTGCGTGCACCTAAGCCGAGAGCTCACATGCACGCGTAGAGCCCCACGCCCAGGGTGTGCGAGACAGACGGGCAGCCGAATGTTATACGATCAATTAATCGGCGCCCTCCTTCGTACGTTTGGTAGAAAAAAAAAAAAAAGCGACGGCCGGTTCAGAAATACACACATAAATAAGCGACCGGACAAATAGTCGACATTTGATCTCGTGTACAAAGCATCAAACAATAAAAGAAATTGTTAGACAAAAAATGGAGGTACATAACAGTGTAAAATTTAAAAAAAAATTTGAATAGCCGGTTAAATCAGTATTTTTTTTAATAAATGAGAAAATACAAAAATGAAAGGTCGGTGCCATTAAACACAATTCTGTTTTTCGAAGTACTTAAATCAAGGAGCTGTGTCGATGCTTTGCTAACTCTTTCGAAGGAGGCGCCTCATAAAGCGTGTGATACATCGTCGTACTTTCGAACTGCTGGCTTTTCGCCTGCAGCCGACTATGCGCGCAGTGAAAGATGTCAAATGCGCCCAAATGAATCTTCGGCTGTGAAGAAACCATTTTGCGAAATTCTCCGGAAGTTACCAATTGGACGCCGCTCCACAATTAACTACTAGGCCGCTTAGAAACAACGATGGCGATTGTTACGGGCCTTAAAGTTGAGTTATTGTCTTTGAAAAACTACACCAAAACTGAAATCACACAAAAATTAGATTGAAAAGCGAAGTAGGATTTGGAAAATTTGAAGGTTTTGTTTTACTGTGTTTAGTCTACTGAGCGCAATAAACGAAAAATCCCGAATCGCTTTTGTTAGGGGCAATTGCATCTCTGCCTAAAACACGAGTCTGAAGAAGGCGTTTTGAAGCAGCCATATGCGCCGAGAAACTGAGGGAGAAGAGGAGACGAGAACGCGCCGGGGCGTCAAAATGCCGCGCTCTGGTTGGAATGATTGGTGGGTAGACCTTAAGCAGGGTAGACGGTGCGTGGCACGTGACAACGTACCGTCGAACTATGCACATCCCGAGGAAAGCTGCCACATGATTCGATCCGTCGTTCCGATTTGTTCAAAGGGGGGTTGTGGCTCATGTGTCAGTAAAACTTGGCAAAGGACATAAGATATGTCCTTTGCCAAGTTATACTGAGGCACTAAAACGTGGCGTATAGACTATTTCAATCATTGCCGTCTTCATGAGCAGTAGGTTATGTAAAAATCAGACGCCGCACGGGTACTCCCAGCCGAGTGACTCATCATTTTCGCTTGACTAATAAGCTCTGAAAACATTTGTGGCTTCAAACATTTTACTTTCGAAGAGACGTGGAGTCATCCCTCTACTCCGGCACCCACCGCCGACACTAAAGATTTGGAAGCTCTATTTGTGCCATCATAGGGGTCTCTTTTTCTTTATTTTTTCTTCTCTGCCCACCGTTGGACTGAAAGTTGGAAACATGGAGGACCGACCTTTTCATTGAGGAAGTTGACGAACTTGGTGTCCGGGGGAAAGGGAGGTGGCTCCCTCATGATCTTCAGCAGCTGCGCCCTCTGGAAGCCGTGCTCGGCACGAGTCAGCCGCAAGCCGTCCAGCTTGCGCAGCGGGCCCGTGCCCGTGGCGTACACCACGTGGACTGTGCCGTCCTGCGGTGCGAGTAACGTCCGGGGCGCGAGAAGGACATTCCGATAGGCACAAATATCCGAACCGCTAAAGGCGAGGAACCGCTGAAACGCTAAGCGACTAAAGGTGCCCTGAGGAGGTTTCTGAGATCGCCTAAATATGGCGATAACTCGCTCCGTGGGCTCTAAGCATCCTAGAATCCCGAAATCCGGAATCCCGAAATCATGACGATACGACATTCGATAAGAACGTCGGGCAGAAAACGCACGAGGGAAACGTTCTTTCGATAAGAACGTTCTTTCGATAAGAATGATTTCACGTTCTTTCGATAAGAACGTGAAATCGGCCCGAGGGTGACGATTTCACGTCACCCTCGGGCCGACTGCAAAACTATTTGAATCATCTGGAATCAGATGGCATTGACATTTTCAACCCTAACCAACCTCATTTTAGGCAGTGCTTGCTTCATGTATTGAAATAATGTTCATGCTTTGCAACTATTCAATTCCTGTGTTTTTCCTTTAGAGGTGTGTGAGGCGACCATACTTTTTTTTTTGTTTTCGTTTATATGCTATCTGAAATGTTACTAACAAGTGCACCAATGTATAGGCTTTGGCTCTTTTTGGGCACTCAAAATAAACGAACAAACAAACAAACAAATATATGATGAAAACGTAGTCGTTTTCGTTGTACAAGCGTCTCAAGTATGTAAGATTAGAAGGACCGCGGCAAGGAAGACAATTCCTGAAGGCTCAAAAAGATTACTTAGCCGTTAGGGCTGTCCGCGGAAGGTAAACTCTATAACACGATGACAAAAGCTGCGTGATAAAATAAAAAATTATAGAAATTATTGACTCAGGCCGTCGAAGCAAGGTCTTCACGACAGCAAGGTTAGTGTGTCCTCTAGACATTGTCCGAAAGTGCGCAGTTCATGTAGAGCCACTTCTTTTGAGCTAGAAGACAGTATTTTAGGTGCCACCTCACGGAAATGGTTGAAAGAGTAAATCACATTTACGTGATGCGCTCTGCGGATATAACGGGAAGCCACTATGGGGAGTATTCACTGGCGGCCATATCCGTGTGCGCTGCTGCTGAGCGCGTGCTGACGGCGAGCTTCCGAAGTCCTTTTGGAGCGTGCATTTAGCACCATCAAGGTTGCCGGTCTAATCAGGCTATTAATGTGAGCTCGTTCTGAGCATGCGCTCCTAACATCGCCCTGAAATATGGCGTCCAGTGAATATCGTGGAGGGACTTACCGGGCCGCGACTTTAGAGAGTTTTAGTAAATCGTTCCGATACCCCCGATAGCCCCGATAACGATACTATGCATGCGCAAGGGAGGCGGTGGCGGAGTATCGGGTATCGTTATCGGAGTCATGGGAACGATCTACTAAAACTCTCTATTAAGCCGGGGTCACACTGCTTACATATCGTACAAAATACAGTCTGCATACAGATTCGACCGCGAGCCACCGCGAGATCCGGGCTGCGAATGCCGCATGGCAATGAGTTCAAGGAGGAAACTTGACACGCGGCGTTCGAACCATGGATATGGCGGTGACTCGTGTTAGCAGACTGTCTTTTGTAGGGTGTGCGAGAAGTGTGACCCCGGCTTTAATGACCTGTTCAAGAAACTGTAGCCAAATAAATATAAATCAATATATGCTTTCAAACGAACGTAATAATTAGAACAACAAACTTTACATTCTGCTGGCCTGTCACGAAAAGTATGTCCGGGAAAAGAAAAATTAGAGGAGACGATACGCGAGAGAGTGGGCCATCTACGAATTTAGCGACTATGAAGCGTAATTGCAAGACGCTAGCAAGGATACCTATTTTTTTTAGCAACACTTTCTCAGTCCCGTTTAACTTTGCTTAAAAAAAACAAAAGAACTTTACACATTTAATTTACGTTGGTTGTACATACTGTCCTCGAGCGCTATTCGGACGTAAAAATAAATCGTATAAATAAGCCAATGAGCGGAGCAGGCACGTAGCCAGGTGGGTGGCCCATGAGGCCCGCCCCCCCCCCCCCCCCCCCCCCCTCGAAATCTTCCATTTTGCTAGGGCCTCCTCTCCCCCTCCCCCTCATGCGACATTTTGTCATGGGCGGCCCCCCGCCCTCCCCTCCCCCGAAACAAAATCCTGGCTACGTGCCTGGAGCGGAATGCAATAAAACCTTTCACAAGGGTGCCTTTAGATGGTGCATTTGTTATACAACAATTTTGTGAGTGCAAACTTCTATGAAAGAAGTTAATTATATATATCTTTTTATGCGTGAAAAAAAAAAAAAAAAGAAGAAACGGGATTAAAGCGTTTGTATGACGCTGCTCTCCTTATATTTTGTACCGCCAACGCTCGGATTTGCTGTGTATGCTTTAGGGTGGGCATTTCTAAGGAACTTTCAAGTTTCAGGCTGCTTTTGTTTTCTACTCGCGCATAGAAAAAAAAGAAGTTTTTCTTTCCTTTCATTTTTTCACCCAGAAACCTACACTCGCGAAATGTATGTATGCTAAATGCACCACCTAGAACAGTGGTTCTCAACCTCTGATGTTTTGGGGACCCCTTTTGAATTGGCGGAAGTGATGGGGGACTCCTCCACTGGGGAGGAAGGAGGGTGTTGAATGATTACAATGACAAACTGGTAAATAAAGAAAACTATATGCTTGCAAACGAAGTTCGAAGCTCTGAAACGAAGAATGATCAACTCACACGGCGCACATGGTTCGGTCTATTTGAGTTGTTGGTCAAGGACTTCAGGGACCCCCATTTGAGAACCACCGACCTAGAGACACCTTTGTGTCAAGTTTCATTGCACTCCGTTTATTGGATTATTTATAAGATTTTTGTTCACGGCCTTTAAGCGCTTCCTAAGTAAGCGCTAGGCTTCCACGTAGAAACGCTTCGATAGAGACAGGGTGGCAGGCATAGGTACCTCGATGACGTAGTCGTGCGAGTCGCAGGTGTCGAAGCTGCGCGTGAGCAGGAACCGCACCGTGGACCCTCGTCGCTTGAGGCTGCCCAGCACGCAGTCGTTCTGCTCGTCCACCGTCACGTAGCCGGCGTCGTCGGTCCAGGCGTCCTTTGGGAGACAGCAGGCACAATAAGAACCAAATTGGATTGTTTCCACTATTCCGTTTCACCTTGCGATGGACCGCTGCGGGCGTATACGAGTCATCCCTGTCAATCCAGTGGTGTGTGAATGCATCACGTGACTAGTTGCCCTACGGGTCGCTACACCCGTCCCCAAGGTCACGTGACACTCGCGCGGCATGCGAGTGGCTTCGATGGCTTGTAGCGTCCTCCGCGGTTCATCGTGCACGTGCACATGCACACTCTTTCTTTTACTTATCGACTGATTACCGAATGTTTTCTGACGGAACGGTGCTCGCGAAACCGTCACAAAATGTGTGACGCAGACTTTGGGGAAGCAAAACGAACATATAATTGAAAAGTGTGTATCTTTGGTTTTATTATAAAATGAGATATAGAGGAAAAAAGAGGGCGCAAAAAAGAATTGAGAAGAAGTGGAGCCAAATTTGGAAGAAATAACGTAATTCAGATGATCTCCCAACAAGAATCAAACCCAAGACCCCCGATTTCTGAACACGACGCTGGGCCACTGTGGCCGGGGGGAGGGGAGGAGGGGTATATTATTTTTGCGAGACATTTACTTACAATTCTGTACTCAACCCCGCAGCTCGGAGCAACGAAAGCTCAGACTGCAGAACCCATGGGGATCCCGAGTTCTATCTCCATCCATGCCCGTTTAGATCAAAATGAGCATCGTTCTGGTGACAAGATGTTTCGGTGGCGCCTGCTCTTGTACACGTTACTAAAAAAAAAAGTAATTTAATACGATTACAATAGACCCCTTTTCAAAACTCCGCGTCAACGCCTGTCCGCCATTTCTGGATCACATACTCTGAGCATGTATTGGACACGAGGACTGCGTCAGCGTTCAGCGTGAACTCGACTCAGCTTGTGTTGGACACGAGTGTGACGTCAGCGTTCGGCGAGGACTCGTATCCAATCAGGCGCTTCGAATCCAAGCAATGGCGACCGCCAATATTGTTTGATGGATTTAAAAAAAAGGGTCTATTACCCTCGGTTAAAAAAGCTATTCGGTTAGATTACTTGATTAGTTCAAAAGATGTCCGTTACTTGAAAAAGTAGCCGTTACTTTTCAAATTACTTCAGATATTCAAAAATGCAGATTGTTTTCTGCAGGTTTGAAAACGGGTCTTTTGCACTGTCCATTATTGGATTAGAATCACCGAATTATAAACTACTTCTTAATCCACCGATTTTTATACACCAGTTTTATGTCGGCGACCCGATTCAAGGATTTTGTTGGTAGGAAATCCCGTGGAAACAATGGCGCCATTGAAAAGATTTGACGAAAAATAGCAACGGTCACGAGTAATTTTAGTACTTTCAAAAGTATTCAAAATTACTCTCGTGATCACTTTTTAATACATGTATTTGAATAATTACAAAATTGCTCCGAAAAGTAATCGATTACAAGTAATTTGATTACTTGGAATGTGTGACGTACAAGTCTGGGTGGCGCCGTCATATTGTGCTTACCCGTGAGGTCACCCCCTGAACTACAGTTGTCGTCAACAACTTCCGCAGTTGCTGACGACAAGTTTGATGATGTGTGCCAGAGTCACGTCGGAGGCTCGCATTGATCTCGTTGTTAAGACAACATCATCAATGTTGACGGTCTGACGTTACTCCTCATTCCGTCGAGAATAGTGCAGAATTCACCCTACTCAAGACGTCACAGTGAGCAGTAGTATGGGCAATCGTGAAACGCCGACCACAGCGACGCGACGCGTCGCCAATACCGGCGTGCGATCGTATGTCACTACCGCGTGATGCACGTTAAAGACCACTGTCGCCATACCTGAGAGGAATTACGCACTCTAAACGTCTGATGTCGCACCCGCTTCCTTTTGACTATTTCTGTTGCCAGCGTGTTGCGGGAAGTTTCGAAAACGTCTATGCGGGCTGCAACTGGGGGCCACAAAGATGATTGGCACCGCGCATGCGCGAGAACCCGTTTTTGGAAGAGCGAATTTCTTCCGCGCGTGCTCTGTTCCACAGCCTGCACCACTGCCTTGGCACTGAGTCCCATCTTGACGCGAGCTATTATGTTGCGAATTAGCGTTGAATAACGACTACTAAATTTAATATGAACATTCTTGTGACAAAAGGTTGACTAATAGGTCATCAGATGGTAGTCCGCTTATTGGGATACAGAGAACTGCAATAACATGCCTGTTTGAAGGCACTTGAGACAAAAACGTCAAAAATATGACGTCAGGTTCTTGTTTGCATTTGGCACAAAAGAATTAGGCTCAATTTGTTTGGTTTTAATTAAAATCATAAATCCCATACTTTTTTTTTACAAAAAATATATAATATTATTTTGTGTTTTTATACCAAACAATCACGATATGCGCACGAAAATAATTTTTTTTTTATATTTTGAATTAGATTACATTCAATCATTGCCCGTGGAGTGGAAAAGACTAGAGATATTGTTGTCAGCGTGGAGTAAAGGGGTATTCCCACGGGGTCGAAATCGCTCCCTTTGCTCCTCGGGACGCCCATGACGTGGTACGTCACGCTTTTGCGTGGGGCCGCTTTAACGTTGACATCCCAGGGCGATGAGGGAGCTTTCGCTCGGGCTGCACAAACGCTCCCCGCCTTGGCGTGGGATCTCTTTGGAATTGGCAGTATTTTCTTCGCGTATCTGGCAACTTTCCAGCTTTTGCTCAGCGAGATGCTGGCGGTGGCGTCGGGATAACCAAACTTGTTGTGGCTTGTGCTGTTGCGCGTGTCCTCGGAGACACTCGAAGGAGTCTCCGATATTCGTTAATGGCGTCCTCAAGCAGCTCCTCGTACAACTGGTTTTTGATCCCACGTCCTTTGTGTTTCATCCCCTCCATTTAAGAATCCTCTATCTTTTAGCAGGACGCACTTCGCCATCCTCTGCACTGCTACCATATTCGCGTTTCACCTTTTCATGCACGCCTCCATTTGTTTGCTCTCGTCAGCGCGCACCGAGCCCTGTTGCTGAGAGTGCGACCGCTAAATGCGTTTGATAACACTGACATCCGGCTCCCCACCGTTTGTGTGAATATTTGAGACGGGGAGAGAGTCCCGCTGGTTCCGCCGATCATGGACGTCACGCGCATCCCTACCCGAAAAGCATCCCTCGTGTGAATACCCTTTAAAGTACATCTAAAAGTACTTTAAGCAAAGAACAATGTAATTTAGAGGAGCTGCTCTTCAAATAGTCAGCACACTGGGTGCAATATACCTAAAATAAACTCTATCGTTCAGTACTGTTTTTACTGGTATGCATTGCTCCAGGAGTAACCGGGGGCGCATCATTTATTTTCGGAAATGGCGGCGAATACTGGATAAGGTAAAATGGCAACACATCAGTTATTTTCAGAAATAGCGCCAAATTCAGAAGTCCCTCCGACCTATCAATTTTGGCGTCGCTTGCACTGGCTCGTTGTAAAGTCACTTTAGCTCATCGCACCCAAGGCAGTTAAACGTACTAGGAGAGAGCATGACGTCAGCCCCGTAGCTTCCGCAAGCTATCCTCTTGTAAAAAAGTGTCCTCTCCTTAAAGACCGACGACCAGTTCGCGCTTTCCACTTTTCGCCCGCTTCCTCCTCTCCCTCCTACCCTTTCCACCCACGCCCGCCCCTCTTGGTTCCTTCTTTCCATCCTTCGCTTCCCTCGCCCGAAGGCGTGGAGAGGAGGGTCTTCTGCCTTGCAGAATCTCGAGTCTGGTCGTCGGCCTTTAAAAAAAAAAAAAAAAAAAAAAAAACAGCAACAACAACAAACAAGCAAAAACAGTAAGTGTGAAGGCGAGCTGGTGATAATTAATCATAATCTGACACCCTAGGCTGTGGTGCGTAAAAAAATTGAGGAACTTTTAAATCGAAGTAGAAGACAGCCGAGGAGAATGTCTCAAAATATTGAAATCTTCTCATCTATTGCATTCTTATTTGATATTAATTTATTTTTTTTCGAGTCGGAGGTCTAGGAGACACATTATAATTAATTGTCCTCCCCTAATATTTTTAACCTCCTCGCTGGCGCCGACCGAGCGTGAAGTAGCGAGAGTTTGAAAAGCTACGGGAAAGCCGCCCCCAAAACAAACGGAGCGATGCGTCGTCTGCTCGCGTTTCTGTTGACTGTTACGAGTAAAATGTCCATTTCTTTAGAGTTGGCAATGTATAATTTTTTGATACAAATTTAACAAGACCAAATCTGGGAAATGTATTTTGAAGTCAAGAATTGTATCCCCGCCCCCCCCCCCCCCCCCCCCCCCCCAAACACACACACACACACACACACACACAAAAGAAAAAAAAGAAACTTAGGTAAAGTAGGACTTCATATTCAGAGAATATACTTACAAGTAAATTAAAAACCTACTTGAAGTAGTACTTAAGTACAATGTACTTAAAGTACTCCCCAACACTGATTGTTATATCGAGTGGTAAATTTAATTAAGGTAAATGAACGTACCTACTCCGGCACGACTGTTTGAATCCACGATGACCACCTTCTCGGCATATTTAGACAGATAACCACAAATACGAACTTTTTATATAAAACAACCAGAAACACAAAACTTGAAAGTATAAAACATGTATAAAGATGTCCTGCTCCCGTCCTCGTCCTCCGTTTTATACTTTCAAGTTTTGTATCTATTAACCAACACGCTCGTTTTGAATTGTAACCAGAAACAAGCAATGTTGTTTTTTTTTTTTAGCAGCGAAACTTTTTGAGCTGTTTTCTATCTCATGAAGTGGTTTAATATTCAATAGGCACAATGAACAGAAGCAAGCTGACTTCATATTTTCTATCTTGTCTTTGTATAATGAGATTGCTTTTTTTTTTTTTTTTATAGATCAGGATTTTGAGCCTCCATATCGCTTAGAAATTTCAGTACGAGTCTAATTTTATAACGTCCAACTATTTCAGTGCAGGGAAGACCACGTGCATAAAAAAAAAAAAAACGTCGAGAATCTCCAAGTACGAACGCGTAGCTATTCCCAAATCGATGCGTTGCCAAACACCGGTATCTAAATCTTTGTCGTCTCTTTACAAATGGAAACGAATTAGTCTGAGCACTTCAAATACATCCAGAAAAATCCAGAATTCGCAAAGCTTAAAATTACTATCGATTAAAAAAAAAACAATAATCTGCTATGTGCGCACTCACCCTGACACACATGGAAGAACAAGACGCAATAACGAAGCATACAATATGCAACAACCATTAGTATTTTTTGGAACAAGCAGACGGAAGGAAAGAGGATAGAGTTCTTGGAAAGAAATCGAAGTGCGGTGGTCGAGCAGCGAGTTCTCCTCAAGTTGTGCATTCCCGACCCTGGCTCGAAAAGACGGGCTTAGGATTATTGGTTGAACGGGAGGAAGGAGGGAGAGAAGAAGGGGAAGGAGGGAAGGGGGAGACCCTTTGTTCGCAAAGACCACATTCCATTGTGATCTAGTCCGCTTTATTAAAGTCAGCTCCTCATAGTTCATCGCTTTTATTACTATACTTTTTTTGTTGTCTTTGTTTTCTTAGCCGTCTACAACGCTGTACATAATTTACGCTGCGCTTAATATGACCCTGCGGGATCGGGGAAGAAAGGGAGAAGGCTCGGTCTTCTATCGGCATCCCACATTTCTTGATTATCATCTTCGCTGTGGAGAAATTGAATGGGGAAAGGGGGAATACGGGATTTCAGCCGAGGAAGTAAAGGAGGACCGAAAAAGACCTCAATATCCGGCACGTTCGAACTCGCTTAATATAAAAAAAAGTTGGAGCCATTTGCTTTACCCGATCTGTCTTGCTTCCTTTATCGGTGGGATCGCAGCTTTATTACCGCGGACATTTATTGCGGTACTAGATTCGCTATGGAGCGGTTCGAGTTCTATTTATAGATTGAGGCAAGTTAATACGATGAAGAAATCAATTTGTTTTTCTTTTTTTCATATTTTTATGTTAAGCGAAACAAATTTGATAGAAACTACTATTGTAGAATAGAAGGGGGTTTATGCGGGGCCTCTCCACCTTCGTGGAAAATCTTGGCGTTGGACACAAATCTGTAAGAAGGAGCCTCGAGAAAGCATCGACTTGCGTTCACGCTAGTTGTATGTCGCTTCGTGCACGTTTGACCATTCACGCTTCTCAGGCACGTAGCCAGGGGGGAGGCCCATGGGGCCCGGGACCCCCCGAAGTCTTTCATTTTGCTGGGACCTCCTCTCCCCTCTCCACCTCATACAGCATTTTGTCATGAGCGCGCGCCCCCCCCCCCCCCCCCCCGCCCCCCCCCCCCCCCCCAAACAAAAATCCTGGCTACGTGCCTGACGCTTCTGATCTTCTTTCAGCTCAAGTTGCGCTCCTGGGGAAAAGTAAACGGGAGAGCTTTGTTTATAAGAAAAAAAAAAAAAATGAAAGACCTTCACAAATCTATGTAATGCGAAATTAGAGCGCAACTCTTGAGAAGGAGGAGCGAAGGGTATACCTCTCCTCCTCCTCCGTACCCTCCCCTCCTCCTCTCGTCCTAACCCCTCCTTTCCCCCTCCTTCCCTACCCTCCTCTTTCTCCATACACTCCCCTCGTTTTCATCCGTGTCCTCCCCTACTTCTTCTGAACTCTAAGAAATGCCTGCGTGTCTACTTACCCGCAAAACACTCGAAGAGCCAATCTCTGTGATCTACGAAATCGCCTCAGAGAATGGTGAGGCGGAACGTCCGTTTAGACCTAAAAATGAAGTCTGCGCTGTGGCGTTACGCAATGCAAAGCGTCATGCTTGCATTGGGTAATGCCACAGCGCAGACTTAATTTTGAGGTCTAAACAAATGTTTCGCCATCTCATTCGCTGAGCTTATTTCGTAGATCGCAGAGATTGGCTCTTCGAGTGTTTTGCGGGTAAGTAGACGCGCAGGCATTTCTTAGACTGTGCGTACCCTCCCATTTTCCTCCTCCATACCCTCCCCTCTTCCCACAGTTTCGTCGCTAAGTTTAGCTGGAAAATTGAGGCCACGTGACCTCAACACCGAGTCAGTTTCCCACATCAATTCAGATTGGTGTTGAGGTCACGTGACGTCAGTTTTCTGGCTAAATCTAGCGGATAAACTGAATTTGCTCATGGGTGACGTGACACAAAGTTATGTGACGTCGTTTCCCCGCTACATTTAGCGCGGAAATTGACGTTACGTGACCTCAGCACGAATTCAATTTCCCGCTAAATTTAGCGGGGAAAACGATGTCACATGACTTCGCGTCACGTCACCCATGAACAAATTCAGTTTCTCCGCTAGATTTAGCGGGAAAACTGACGTCACGTTTCCTCAACAGCAATTCAGTTCCCCGCTAAATTTAGGAGGGAATTAAGTTGATGTTGAGGTAACGTGACGTCAATTCCCCGCTAAATTTAGCGGGGAATTGAATTGGTGTTGAGATCACGTGACGACAATTGTCCTGCTAAATTTAGCGTGGTTACGCCGACGGCGACGCCGCGAAACACAGAAACAGGCGCCTATATACACTCTAAAAAAGGCCCGTGCGTCTAGCAAGCGTGACGTTTTGCATTGCTTCATGTCACAGCTCAGACTGCGTTTTTTGGTCTAAACATGTTTTGCATCGTCATTCGCTGAGCTGCTTCCGTAAGTTGCGGTGATTGGCTCTACGAGTGTTGTGCGGGAGAGTAGACGTACGGGCTTTTTTTAGAGTGATATAAACACGTCCGCGAGTTCACTTTTACGCATAACACAAAGACAGTCAATCACGGCGAACAGTCGAATGATTCCAGGTAGTAACAATGTTGATAATATCATTAGATCTGAAAATGCAATGGAACAACGAGCAAGTGAAGTGTAACGTTAATTTTCGACGCGCATTGCACTTTTGTTTTGTCGTCCCAATTGTAATTTCAGTTTTGCCATTCCATGGGATGCTTCTACTGTTTGCAGTGATTCGTTGTCTTGTATTCTACAGGAAAGTGAACTCACAGACAGTTTTCAAAGTGCAGCCTATTAAGCAACGCGGGGTCTGTCTCATTATGTCTGCGCTTGCTGCTTCGTGAATCGCTGTTCGACGTTCGGCTAATGCCTTAATCTTATTGGCTGTGGAACGATGGTAAGGTGTTCGGGGTTCACCACGCTCTTCGTTTGTTGACGTCTAAATTACATAAACTATTACGACAGACAGTGAGAGCAAAACTTTCCATACTCTAAAAAAAGTTTGTGCGTCTACTTTGCCGCACAACACTCGGAGAGCCAATCACCGCAACTTACGGAGGCAGCTCAGCGAATGACAATGCTGAAACATGTTTAGACCAAAAAACGCAGTCTGAGTTCTGACATTAAGCAATGCAAAACGTCACGCTTGCATTGCTTAATGTCACAACTCAGACTGTATTTTTTGCTCTAAACATATGTTTCGGTATCGTCACTCGCTGAGCTGCCTCCGTAGGTTGATGTGATTGGGTCTCCAAATGGTGTGCGTGAAAGTAGACGCACAAACTTTTTTCAGATTGATGCATAAATAAGGAAGGAAGAGAAGAAGAGATAACTCACGTCGAGATGCGGCTGTTCCCTGACGTCTGCCCAGAGGACGCACAGGTCCGCCTGGCCCACCTCTCCCCGGTCCGAAAAGCCCAGGGCAAACCAGTCGTTGCGCGCCAGGTTGAGTTTGAGCTCGGCGGTCAACACTTGGGCGTCGTAGTCCACCGTCCAGTAGAGCGTGAACCGCCCCTGCGGATCCAGCACGAGCTCGAAGTAGCGCCGCTGCTCTCCTCCGGCCTCGGCAAAGAGCAGCGAGGCTCCGAGGAGTGCGAGCGCTCGCAACCAGGAGGACAGAAACGGGTCTCGTCCAACCATGCCTTCCTTCTTTTTGAAGATGGCCGTTCTTCTTTCTCAGTGACCCCCTCAGCAATCGAAGCCCAATTTGTAGGGTGGTCAATTCAACTCAACATCTTGTCGCAGCCGAGGTGATCGCAAGGGAACCCCAGGGTCCGATGACTCCTCTATTTGACGAGAAGTCAAGTGACACCGACTTATGGTCGGTGATCAGCCGAACAGCACTCGCTACTCAATGTCTTGCGACTCTGGTTTCCACTCCCAGTTTGAAGTGTCAGTTGTCGGCGAAGGTTCCTGACAATCCGAGCTCAGAAGTTAAGGTTTCTTCGAATACATACCCTACAGGTTCCTTTGTTTTCTATAGGTCCAGACTTCACAGCGTTTTGTGGTTCGGACTTGCAGTTCCACTCCTGAGGTGCGAGTTGTGGACGAAATTTCCCTAAGACTCGAGCTTGAAAACTAAAGTTCCCCAGGGTACATACCCTACAGGTTCCTCTGTCTTCTAGAGGTCCAGAGCTTGCAATCAGAGGACAGAACTGGACTCGATGCCCTCCTCTTCGACTTTTGCAGTCCCTAACGCCGGAGGGTGATGACGCTTTAGGGAAAGGCTGCCAATGAAAGCGACGCAGGAGGCGGGACACGGTAGAGGTGAACCTCCAATAAGGAGGCGTCGTCGGCGTGCTCAGTGACGCGTCTTCTTTTGTGCTCTGCCTGATGATTCCTTCCCCTCCTTTCGGGCCGGGGAATGTGAAAGGGGTCTTGCTCATAAAGGGGGGTCTAGACATGTCCTCCGCTCTTTCCTCCCTTCCCACGCGACCCTTTATAAATAACGGGAGCAATATGGAGCTTGGAGCGAAGGCCTCTGCCGCGAGTTAAATCCTTCGGTCCTTCTCTTCGTTTTTTTATTATTTATATTTCGTTCGTTGTGGCGATGCCCTGTGCGAGTTATTAATACGCATAAAAACTGCCGAGACGCAGCCTGTCGAGCCTCGAAACTAACCGAAAGAAGTCAGTAAAACGGAACTTGCCATCTACTTTGTGGCGGCATAGGCGGCATATGTGCGAAGCAACGTTTTGTGTACGTTGTTTCTTTCTTTGCGCAAGTTAGGCCGATAAACATTGGCCATATATTTATTCCGCGTTCACAAGCGAGTCAATGGTAAACAGAGAAATCATTTTAAGCAGAGCCCAACAAGAAAAATAGTGGACATTACGCGTTTTACCTTTTATTTTTATGGGAAGCTGTTTACTCCATATCCTGGAAGCCTAATAATAGATTTTCGTGTTGTTAACTGTTGCCCAGAAATTTTATAGTCTTTGTTGATATTTTAAGATTGCCGTTATAAAAGGAAGATTAGCAGATCATTTACGAACTTGGATATCAATACTTGATACTACGCAAGGACCCTGTGCATGAAGCGCCGATTTTTTTCGCACCTATTAGAAATCTTTATTGGAGTGTTAAAACGCTTTACTAAAGCTTACCGTCTCATGACTTCGGGAGTACTTTAATATTGCGAGAGTATGTATAGTGCCTTAATTTGGCCGACCAAAGTGCACATTTAACGAGTTTATTGCAGTTATTTATAGATCCCGCCAGGCCGTAAGGCCAAAGTAGGAATGGTACAAAAACAACAAGAACAACAACAAAAAAGAAATATAATCATTGTGACGAACAAAATAACATAAAGAAACGCAAGTTACTCACATAGACTATGGTACACAAATTGTTTTGCGATTGCACTCAGGGAGCGTGTTCCACAAATCTATACAACGAAAAGAAAATATTTGGAACGATATCTGGAGTGCCAATAGGGCTTAATATACATATTGTGTTTTGTTCTTGGTAGTATAGCTTCGGGAATTGTAACATATTTGGAAGTGTTTATCTGATAGTACCAGCGAAGTACTCGAAAAAAAAAGTTTAATTCTATTTATGGTCATTCTTGTCTAAACACTGTTAAGGTTTGCTTGGGACTTGAAATTAGCGACGGTGTCGGTTTAGTAAATAAGTCTGACCGTCTTATTTTGTATTATTTCTAAATCATAGGAATTTTTACTGGTAAATGGCACCCAAACCGGATTTACGTAGTCAATGGTTGGTAAAATTAGACACATGAAAGCCATTAATTTGACCTTTGGACTCGTACGATTTAGCTTTCTTCTCAACGTCCACAGTTTTTCAATATCTTTTTTTTTTTTGCACAGGTGTTCAATGGGAGTTCGAGATTAGATTGGAACTGAAGTGCACTCCGAGGTACTTATATTCAGTAATTGTATTCAGCAGAATTCCTTTGCGTTTTAGATAAATTCCAAGCTCAGTTTTCTGCGCGTTACATTCCTGTAGACAGTTTTCTTTATATTCAGTTCCATTTGCCAGTGAGCACAACATTTCTTATGTTTATTTACATTTTTACAATCTTCGGCAGAAGATATATTAGAGTAAATTATAATGTAATCTGCAAAGTGCTTCAAATTTTTCGCTGGATCCAATCCGTCGCTCATGTCGCTGATATGTAAGATAGAAATGAAGGGGCCGAGCACCGAACCCTGCGGAACACCGGATAGCACTGGTAATGAGTTGGTTCTTTCGTTCTGAAGACAAGCATACTGTTCCTTTTCTGGTAAGTATGCTTCCGACCAATGCACTATTTGGCTGTTCTTTAGAATGCAACTGAGCTCGTGCAATAGTTTAGGATGTTATACTCCATCAAAGGCTTTATCTAAATTTAAAAAAAAATAACAACAATTAACGCAACATTCGTTTGTCGCCGGTTATATACATTTCTGCTAAGATTGCGAAAAACTTCTATCAGCTGCGTAGTTGTGAAATCCCGTAAATTAAACATTAAAAAAAATTGTAGAAGTATCTTATTACATAAAATGTGCAGTTTGTGGTAGACGTTATCTGTATCTCCGCCACAGACAACGAACGAATCTACTGCGTTGAAGAATAACTTATGTAGTTTACCTGTTCTGTGAGGTGCCTTCTAATAAAAGCTTTGCTATACGGTACAGCCACCCGCCTTGCGTATACGTGCTGCTGTGACTGTAATACGTTTATGATCCTGCATCTTCTCACCCCTTCTCTTTCCAATTCCTTCGCCCCTCTTAAATCGTCATAATTTTACTGTAATTCGGTGGCGCGAAATTTTTGTTGCAGAAGGTAGGCGCTCAGCAGCCAGTCACCACACAAGCCACCTATGTGACATCAGTGCCGGCAGTGTATTCGAGTAGTGCTGGGGTCTCCAAACGTTTTGAATGAGGGGCCGGATTAGGAACCTGTGTCAATTTCGAGAGCCGGAAAATACATAAGCCAATAAAAATAAGGAAATACTAAAAGTAAAACTAATAATCATTTAAACATAAAAAATGGGCCGAAATCCCTGCTGCCGCCACGCTGATACTCGAAGAAATGCGTGAAAATTTCGCGCAGCGGTTATAAATAACGGAACACGATGAATGCCCTCCCTTAGCACTTTTCCGCGGGGAGAACTTTTCCGGAACCCCCTTCTCCCTGGTGGAAGCAGATTAGTTCACTTAGTATGTGCATGAAGGACGTGCGCGTGAGGCGCGTAAAACGACAGAGCCATTTCGTTGTGCGCATTTATTCACCTCGAACGCGCCTTTATTAGTGTGGTGGATAGATGATGCACATGAGCAGCCAGTATAACGTGAAGTGCGCCAGATATGCCGACATGGCAAGAGGACTGCGCGTCAAGAACGGCGGGGCAGGCGTGGCAGGTCGAAGAACGTACAGGTGTCCAAAGCCGGCGGCATTAGTTTCCAAAGGGCGTCCAAAGCGCGCACCCCAGAGCCGTATATGGGGAGGGTTTGGTCAGTCTATGATCTCGCCGCCGTAACGCTCTCCTCCCAAGTGAGCCAATCAGCACGCGGCGTAGAGCGAGAGGCATTAGCGCATGCGCGTGAACTCCCGGCTGCTCCCACCTGAGTGGGGAGGGCCGCCATCTTCGATCATTCTCCCGGCGGAATGCGTGGGATCAGCATCTAAATCTCGATTATTGCCTTTTATATCGCTCGCTCTGGCAAGAAAATGACATTCTGTTATTCCTCGGTGGGTTAAAAAGCTAATAAATGAAGATTTTTCGGCGTATGGCCACAAACTTTTATTCAGGCGAAAAAGAAGTCGGCCCGTAGCAGACGACGCGTAGCCTCAGCTGTGGCCTTCTCCGACCAGTCTCCGACAGCGTTGCTCAAAAATGGCGGTCGTCTCCTCTCTGCTCCCTTCTTTCTCTCTCGCTCCTTCGGCGCTCTCCTCCCTTTCATTTACTTTTCTCTCCGGCGCCTTCGTCGCCACACGCACTGGCCAAACTCTCCTAATATACGGCTCTGGCGCACCCGCAGCCCGGCCGCCATCTGTCGGCGCTTGCAGAAGGTGTTTCCTAGACAGTTTCCACATCCAGTGCGGCTCTGGCGCCAGCCCGTGGCGACGTTGCCAACTTTGGTTCGTCCAAACCAGTCTAAGGTCAGTGCATGTACCAGGGCACTAATGCTAACGCATTAATATAAACCAGTGTTGGACAAAATACTCGATAAAAGTATTTAAGTTAAGTTACTAAATACCTGCTTGATAAAGTATTTAAAATACTACTCAAGTTACTTGCACTGTAAAGTACCTTGAGTACAGTACAAATACGTTGAAATGTAATTAAATTACCTTTGAAGATACTTCCCCATTGCGTAATTTCTTTCGAAGTCAGTGAAACACACAATTATACAGTTACGAGGACCTGGTTTACCAGAATAGTTTACTAGCAAACGCAACGGCACAAAACGGGGGAAAAACATCGTAGGGCTATTCTTTGAAGTCAAAATATAAGGAGCAGGATGTCACTGATGCATGTCGCAAAACATTTCGGGACACACACACACACACACACACACACACACACACACACACACACACGCACACGCACACGCACACGCACACGCACACGCACACGCACACGCACACGCACACGCACACGCACACGCACACGCACACGCACACGCACACACACACACACACACACACACACACACACACACACACGCACGCACGCACGCACGCACGCACGCACGCACGCACGCACGCACGCACACACGCACACGCGCACGCGCACGCGCACGCACGCACACACACACACACACACACACACACACACACACACACAGAGGTGGCTTCAGCTATAGTAACATCGCTGAATATCACGTCCTATGGCGCACCTTATACTCCGTCTCACTAAAACTGCTGTACACTCAAAGCTACAGGGGAGAGAACGTATGCCAACCTTTTCAAGAGGAGGGAAAGGAGGAACGGGAGAGAAGGGCTGCGATTCCCCATTCCCCCTTTCCCTTCTCTTAAACCAGGTCGGGATATTCTTTCTCCCCTGTAGCTCTGGCTGCACTGCACGCTTTTAATGAGTGGCATCTCCCGTTTAGCTACAATCCATATTTCCTATTTGGGAAGTTCACTATAAACGAATTTGGGACAAGAAAATGGGTGAATGGATAACAAAGAGAGCCCACATAAGAGCAACGGCACTGGTCGTGCGTTCTTCAAGTAGG